GAAAATAATTACCAATATGTTATCTTATAGTATTATAATTTATAAAGTTTTCTGCAGTTAAAATATATCAGACATATATTTCAAGGATCTCAATCTGATTTTTAAAAAGTTTCTTCAGAGCCCTCATGTGGGAAATTCCCTAAAGCAATTTTTTCTTCTAATTCAAATCTTACCCAAGTCAAAAATTTCCACCAAAGGCAGCTGTTTACCTAGATTATAATGAAAACATTTCAAAATATTTCCAAATGATAAAGTTCCCATTCTCTGACAAGGACCTACTTGGACCACATAACTTTCTTCCTTAATTCCCAGACAGAGTTATCAGAGATTAATTTTCACACTGTAGTAGTTTTGATTCAAAAGAACATTTTTACTTTAGGACAGATGAAATCTGTAGGAAGGCATTCCCCTTTAGGAAAAAGTCTTTAGAGCCAGTGTTATTTTTCTCATGTATTATTTATTATGTTGTAGACTTTTTAGAGAGTTTATGATCTGACAAATCTTAGAGGCAACAAAATGTTCCTATTAGTGGGCTGTTGATAGGATTGTTGGCACCCCAAGTAGGATAAACTCCAGATTACTGCACTTTCCTTCAAATAATGCAGATTGCATTACATTGTGGAATTTGCTAGAATGAATTTTTGAGTCCTATTTCTCTTCTTTTGATCTTTTCAAAAGTTTTCAGCTATGAAACTGTTTGAGGAAATGAAAAGGCACTCAAACATGGCCACTTGGCTCTGAAGAGAACGTGAAAACAGCACTGATCACATGAATCATGGATTGTCAGGTCTTCTTTGTGATTCTTTATGTTTACTTAGGATCTTCCCAACTGGCTCAGATGCTAAGAATCTGCCTGCAGCGTGAGACCCGGGGTCAGCATGATCACCCAGAGAAGGGAATGACAACCCATCCAGTATTCAGAGTTTCAGGAACACAGTCAGGTTAGTCAGTCTTTAATACATCACAACTTTGATTTAAATGTTTTTATTTAAAATCAGGCTGTCTACCAGGGAAGCCTACGAACACTGGAGTGGGTAGCCTGTCCCTTCTCCAGCAGATCTTCCTGACTGAGGAATTGAACCAGAGTTTCTTGCATTGCAGGCCAATTATTTACCAACTGAGCTATCAAGGAAGCCCTTATAATCAGACATTCTTTGAGATGTAAAGCCAGGTCCCGTATAAGGACACCACTGAAGAGAGTTTTGTTGTTGTTCAGGCTCTCAGTCCTGTCTGACTCTTTGTGACCCCATGGGCTGCAGCACGCCAGGATTCCCTGTCCTTCACCATTTCCAGAGCTTGCTCAAACTCATGTCCATCGAGTCAGTGACACCATCCAGTCATCTCATCCTCTGTCATCTGCTTCTCCTCCTGCCGTCAGTCTTTCCCAGAACCAGGATCTTTTCTAATGAGTCAGCTCTTCGCATAAGGTGGCCTAAGTATTGGACTTTCAGCTTCAGCATCAGTCTTTCCAATGAATATTCAGAACTGATTTCCTCTTGGACTGACAGGTTGGATCTCCTTGTAGTCCAAGAGACTCTCAAGAGTCTTCTCCAATACCACAGTTCAAAAGCATCAATTCTTCAGTGCTCAGTTTTTTTTATGGTCCAACTCTCACATCCATACATGGCTACTGGAAAAACCATAGCTTGAGTTATATGTACATTTGTGGGCAAAGTAATGTCTCTGCTTTTTAGTATGCTGCCTAGGTTGGTCACAGCTTTTCATTCAAGGAGCAAGTGTCTTAATTTCATGGCTGCAGTCACCATCTGTATTGATTTTGGAGCCCAAAAATATAAAGTCTGTCATTGTTTCCATTGTTTCCCCATCTATTTGCCATGAAACAATGGGACTGGATGCCATGGTCTTTGTTTTTTGAATGTTGAATTTTAAGCCAGCCATTTCACTCTCCTCTTCCACTTGCATCAAGAGGCTGTTTAGGTCTTCTTCACTTTCTGCCATAAGGATGGTATCATCTGCATATCTGAGCTTATTGATATCTCCCCCCTGCAATCTTGATGCTAGTTTGTGCTTCATCCAGCTCATCATTTTGCATGATGTACTCTGCATATAAGTTAAATAAGCAGAATGACAATATACAGCCTTGCCATACTCCTTTCCCAATTTGTAACCAGTCCATTGCTCCATGTTCAGTTCTAATTGTTGCTTCTTGACCTGCATCCAGGCTTCTCAGGAGGCAGGTTAGGTGGTTTGGTATTCTCATTCTTTCAAGAATTTTCCACAGTTTGTTGTCTAGTGTCTCTTATTTAATATCATAAGCATTTGTGAAGATTCCTGAGGTATTTATAACCTCAATTCATATAATTAATAATTTTCTCCTTACACTGGATCCTTGTCTATAATGCTCCATCATGTATCATACATTCCCTTACCTAATTTATTTAGATTAATAGATTTAAATATTATGCAATATGTTGGGAAGATTCTAAATAATTGATACAGGACTATGTAAAGTTTCAAAGAAACCAAAAATTAAAATTTCAAGTGGCATAATCTTTATTTTGATTCATAAGAAATTTAGTGCCTATTGGTCTTTTCCATCTCTCTTTCTTTGGCATTGCCATGCAAATGAATAAATCAATAAATCACATAATCATGATAGCACAAGTCACTGTTTTGTGTGGAAGAGTTCCTTTTTTATGAGCAGTTTGAAGACCTTTTTTAAGAGTTTGATGCTTTTCTACTAATAAGATAACCCTCTTTTATTACAGAGTGATATTCTTACCCCTCCTTCTAGTACATATAAGCAATAAGTGTAAATATAGGCATATATTTTTATTTTTCACACACAAACACACATATATTTATAAAATAGGTTGAACTTCACAAGATAATACATGGACTAAGAAGAGTAAACATTCTTCAATTTTCTTTTTTAGATTTTTGGGGTGAAAAATTTGTACAAAGATTAATCTGCACAAAATACATATATCAATCAAAATGGCACTTTCATGGCTTCTCATCAAAGATAACTGACTCAATTTCTCCTTTAGGAAGAAATTAACCAAAGATTAACCATAATTTTGAGAATTATACTTTTAATTCTTACTTCAATTTTCAAGTGTGTAATGTAGAACCACTGAAAGTACTTGAACTAGGGAGGGACAGAATTATGATTTCAGACCTCAGTGTTTAGGGCTAAATAGGAGTATGTTGGAAAATACTAAAATTATCATTAGGAGTCAGTATAGTTCAACATTACAGTACTTCAGTTAAAACACAAAAAGCCAGAAGTTGTGTGGTGGCTGAGGTACATAGGTGGAGGTCACTGTGGTTGCAGATGCTATGGTTTAGCATTAGAAAAATGTTGAATACATTCTGAACACTCTAGGACAAAAATAACATGATTATCAGACATATTTATTAAGTTCCCTCTATGTCCTCTGCATTGTGCTTAGATCTAGGAGCCAAACAGTAACAAGATAGGAACAATACTTTTTCTTATAGAATTTACAGTTTATCAAGGAACACAGGTATTCAGGGGAGAAAAACTCTAATGTGTGTTATGATGGAGAATCTAGTAGAATTTAGGTGAAAATGAATAATGACTGCTGACATGTATTGACTATTTACCATATGCCAGGCACTGACTCAACCATTTTACTTAGACTTTTTTCGTTTAATTAACTCAGCAGGATGATGAAAGATTACCATCTTTACCATCCAATTTTACAACTTTGAACTAAAAGATTAAATAAATTGCCCAAAGAATTATAGTTTGTAAGTAAATTAAGATTCACAATCCTCTCTCTAACTCCATAGTCCCTACTCATTTCTTTGATGAGAAGAAATTGATAAGTCCATTTACTGACTTTTTAAGAGTATAAACTGTAGGAGAAATATACAACATTTGCAAATTATTTCAGAGATATTCCAGAGCGAGAAGAACTGAAATGAGTTACTGAAACATTTGAAAAATTCCTGATGAAGAGGTACAGAAACCTGGAAATAGGAGCTTTACAAAAGATATGTCCATTTGGTAAACTGGAATAAAAAGGGAATGAAACAACATAGTGGCTTTCCATTCAGAGGTGAAGATAATGAGGAGATGGGGATTTACTTTGGTTCTACACTGAGGGATATGTAATACCTAAAATGAAAAAGAGTGAAAGAATGAACCCCTAAGGAAGTAAAGGCTGATCATGATCCAGGATATATTATTTCTGTATTCCCTTTTATACATGTGATCTACTCCCTGGGGAAAAGACTGAGAAGCTTCTAGCCAAGTTCATTCATCATTACACTCATTTTGAATCCTCTGTGTCTAATAAAGTATCAAGTGTGATAGTTAAAAGGCTTTATTTTCCCTACTGCTTGAAAGGACTGAAATAATTCTTAGAAATCGTTGTAGTTCAGAAAGACTTCTCAGGCATATACCTAGGCTGGTACCTCTCAGGATCAAAGAAATCAAGCCTCAGCAATCTGAAATTGCATTTCTAGTCCCAACTGGGTAAAGACCAAGGATAAGGGAGCCAGCCCATAAGTTGGTTTCTTTTTTTTTTTTTCCTGAACTAAGGAGGGTGAATTTCTGAATTCAATTTACATACTTATTCACTGTTTTGAGATGAAAGTACAGGGACCTAATACATTCCCTTTATTTCTCATTTTGTGCAGATCTGAGACTCAGGTGTAACTGGAGGAGAAATCTGTTAGAGGGTCATCAGAGAATGTTTAGAGACTTTAGGTCACTCTGTCCTGATCTTTCCTTCTTGACCTTTGTTTTCCCAGCAGTTATGTTTGCATAAAGCAGCGCTGGCCTTAACTCTGAAGTTTGTGATTTCCTTTGCTCCATTTAGCTTATATAAGTCCACATCACTCTGTATCCTGATAAAGGTAAAGGCAGTATCTGCGGGACCAGGTAGGACTAGTCTCTGACACTCCCAGTGTTTACCCTGCCTTGTAGATGAGACACTGTGGCAAAGAGCTGGGTTGATCTCCAATGGAACGCTTTCTCCTGTGTCCGCAGAGTCCCTTAGAGAAGAATGGCTCCTGCAAATGACTCTTTTGCGACCAAATTCATTCTGTTGGGATTAACAGACCAACCAGATCTCCAACTCCCCCTATTCTTTTTATTTCTAGGAATGTATATGGTCACTGTGCTGGGGAATTTGGGCTTGATAATCTTAATTTGGCTAAATTCACACCTACACACCCCCATGTACTTTTTCCTCTTTAACTTGTCCTTCATAGATCTCTGTTATTCTTCTGTGTTTACACCCAAAATGATGATTAACTTCATATTAAAGAAGAATATTATTTCTTACATGGGGTGCATGACTCAGCTGTACTTTTTCTGTTTTTTTGTCATTTCTGAAATCTATGTGCTGACATCAATGGCCTATGACCGCTACGTGGCCATCTGTAACCCACTCTTGTATAATGCTGCCATGTCCCCTAAAGTGTGTTCCAGCCTTATGCTTGGTTCATACTTGATGGCATTTTCTGGTGCCATGGCTCACACTGGATGCATGCTGAGACTGACCTTCTGTGATGCAAACTCCATCAACCATTATTTCTGTGATATTCACCTGTTGCTTCAGCTCTCTTGCACAAGGACCTACATCAATGAATTGGAAATGCTCGTTGTGGTGGGCATCAATATCACTGCACCGTTTCACAATCTTTGTCTCTTATGGTCTCATCCTCTCCAACATCTTCCACATCAAGTCCACAGAGGGCAGATCCAAAGCCTTCAGCACCTGCAGTTCCGACATCATTCCGACAGCAATGATCTTTGGATCAGGGGTATTTATGTATCTCAAACCATCTTCTGTTGTGTCTATGGATGAGGGTAAAATTTCTTCTGTTTTTATATCTAGACTGTTCCCTTCCTCAACCCCTTAATTTACAGTGTGAGGAACAAAGATGTTAAACTTGCTCTGAGATAAACCCTGAGAAAGAGACAGTTTTGATTAGAAACACTCATCATGCATGAATTACAGAACAGTGAGATTCTGTTTAATTTTAGTCACAGCTTTCTTAACATATTCTTTCTATTACCTTTTGTTCCTAATACCTTAAATAAATTTCAGTCCTGTTTGAATAATTTATTTCCATTTTTTGTAAGTATTTGTTTTCCCCACTGTTTTTACAATACATATCATCTCTATTACCTTCTTTGTAAAATCATTAAGTAGTAAATATTTTCTTTTTATTTTCTTTGTCATTTTGAAATATTTTTCAGATGAATACTCTCCAAATACTGCATTTCATTACACTAGACTGAAAATATATCACTGGGGGTGTTTTTATCTGTCACTTGCAATAATGATGAATAAAATACTCTGTTTCTACTCTTATCTTTCATATTTCACTTGGGAAGAATATACCTAGTTTAAATGCCAGAGATTGAAGGTTCTAAGTCCATCAGGGATAATCCATTTTGCATCTGTAAATGTTTGGTGTAAACTTCTTGGCAAAGAGCTTTATTTTTTACTTTTGTAAGTCAAATTGACACATAGCTGATTATCTAAAGACATGTTTTGCGTGGATGGGAAAGTGAAGTCAAGAGTGGATAATGATTTACATAAACTCAACACAACTTTAGAAAGAAAAATAGGTAGATAGAGAGCATCAGTTTATAGGAGATAAATTGCGAGGAGTAATTGCATTAAGAAAGGAAGTAACTTACCCCGAGAAGTGTTGGATAGTGAAAATACTTACCAATGGACTCACTCCTGTTGGAAGACCCTAGAAATATTATTGAGATCACCAGATTTCTCTAGATAAGGTGAAAGCTTAAGTTATTTATGATTTAAAATGTTAAAACAATGGGGCTAGATGACCTTTGGACAACTAGATTATTTCTGGGTTTTTTTGGCTTTTGTGTGATACACTCATAGATTTTTAGGTACAGAAACATCAAATCGCCGCTTGGAGGATAATGACAATATGAAAGAAATATTTGGTGAATAAAACAAATTATGAGAGATGATGTTGGATTATTTTTTAAGGCAAAAATGTGCTATTTTAAAACTCCTCAATATGCTGTACCAGTGACAATGTAAACATTTTCTAAGGTATTTTAAATAATTTCTTTACTTAAAACTTTCTTAATCTCCAGTCAGTATTTGGGCATTTTGAAATTTGTCAAAACTGATTTTTGACTGGTTTGTTTTTAGATGTTCAGCACAGAGAAATCCTTAGCTGATGGTTTTCAATGACCACTCATATTCCAGCATCTGACTGCAATATGAACATGATCAATTTTCTCTTAATAATTTCTATTCATATAAAATGTTTGATCTTGGTTAGAGTTTGCATGTTGAAACTAGTGTTTCCCTATATAAACTTGTTTTTTGAGTGAAAACGAATGTGCCTCTCAACAAGTGAATGTAATCGGGCCATTTGGAAACCTACAGAGTAGAGCTGCATCCACTCTGTTCGGTATTTTATAACAATTTGAGGATCCCCAAGAGTGAGTTGAGCCTGGTCACTAACCTTTCATTACAAGAGCCTCAAAATTAATATGAAACCTGTTCATTTGCATAAAAGAACGGCTCTTTAAAATGAGTAATTTGTACCATTGGTTAGTTTGAAAAATTTTAAGTAACTTAGAATACAGTTTGTGAAAACTGCAGGTGGTAATGTTTTAAAAAAGAGGCAACGTTGCGGATTGTTCAGCAACTTAATCATGTTTTAGTTAGCAATGGAACTGTGTATTTCCATATTTGTACTTCTTTTAAGTGAAGGGGAGATCAAGTCAGAGTATTTTGCATTCATAATATGGCTATCCTTAGTAGTTTTTGCTTTCTTGAATTATGTGGTTGACACTGACAGGTTTTGAGGGAAGCTGCAGTTCTGCTGAAGGTGTTAAAGCTAAGAGTCAATCTTGAAAGCTCTGGATTTCTCCTGTGCCCATGAACCAGGATGGAACTTTCTCTGTGTTGGTGTGAAGTGTGGATTCTTTTCCAAAATGCTTCACTGTATATATTCCCTTTTTTACTTAATTTAGCTATACTAGTGATTTCAAATATTATACAATGTATTGGAAAGATTCTAAACAAGGGATGGAGAGCTAAGATGTTTCAAAGAAGCCTACATTTAAAATTTCACATGACATAGTTTTAATTTTCATTTATCAGAAATGATGAATTTTCATTCATCATCATTGATCAGTGCCGAACAGTCTCTTCCAGCTCTCTCTTTTAAAGGTTGCCATACTAAAAATGGGTTTTCCTTGTAGCTCAGTTGGTAAAAAATCTGCTGGCAATGCAGGAGACCTGGGTTCAAGTCCTGGGTTGGAAAGATCCCCTGGAGAAAGAAATGGCAGCCCACTCGAGTATTCTTGTCTGGAGGATCCCATGGCTAGAGGAACTTGGCAGGCTACAGTTCACAGGGGTCATAAGGGTTGGACATGACTTAGCGAATAAATCACCGTACTAAAAACAAACAAACAAATCCCATAATTGGGGGAGCACAAGTCATTGTTTTGTTTGTGGAGGCCTTCTTTCTTTGGAACATTTTGAAGACATATTTTTGAGATTTTGATGCTTTTCTATCAATAAAAGAACTCTCTTTTATCATGGAATGATATTCCCCCTTTTTCCACTCAATATAAGTAGTGTGTTTAAATAGACTCATGTAGGTTTATTTTTAGCACAGACACATATATATTTCTAAAATGGGTTAAATCTCTCAAGAGAACTGAGTGGTCTCTGAAAAGTAAACATTATCCAACTTCCTTTTTTATGTCTTTGAGAAGGTTAAAATTTTGTACCATATGTAATGTGTGCAAAATACTTTGTTCAATCAAAATGGTATTTTCATGGCTTCTCATCAAGGATAATGCTGACTCAATTTCTTATTTAGTTTTGACCAAGCCTAAATCATAGTTTTGAGACTTGCATTTTTATTACATAGCTCCATTCTTCAAGTGTATAGAGAACCACTGAGAATTCTTGAACTAGGGAAGGACAGATCTGTGCTTTCAGACCTTATTCAAGGAGCAGTGTTCATGACCATGTAAGAGTGAATATGTGGGAAAATGTTAAAATAATAGTTAGGAGTCACTATAGTTCAGCATTACAGTAGTTCAGTCTAAAGGCAAATTCTGAAGTTGGGTGGAGGCTGAGGGACATGGATGGGAGTCACTGTGTTGTAGTTGTTATAGCTTAGCATAAGAGAAGTTTTGAATGTATTCTTAAAGCACTTAGACAAAAATAAGATGAGTTTCAGAAGTACGCGTTGAATTCTTTTTGTGTACTCTGCATTGTTCTTAGTTTCAGGTCTAAGTACTTAACAAGATAAAATAAGTTTTTGTCCTTATAGAATTTACAGTTTATAGAAAACACAAGTTAAAGGGAAAAAGTCTGATGAATGTTATGAAACAGAATCTACTGAAAGTTATGAGAACATGAATAACAGCTGCCATTTATTGACTATTATATGCCAGACAGTGTTCCAACCATTTTACTTATTTTTTTTTCATTTATTTAACACAACAGCTCAAAAAAAAAAAAAAAGATGCTGTTTTGACATTCCTTATCCTACATAGGTGAACCAAGAGATTAAGTAACTTGTCCCAAGTGATGCAGTTTGTAAAAAGTGGAAGAACAAAGGTAGAATTCACAACACTCTCTCTAACTGCATAGCCTCTACTCTTTTCCATGATGAGAAGAAATTGATAACTTCAGTTACTGAAATATTACAGAAAATGAGCCATAGAAGAGTCAGGTAGAAATTTCAGGTATAGGTTAAAAGTATAAACTATAGGAGGGATGTACTATATTAGAGATTATTTCAGAGACATTTCAGAGACAGAACAACTGAAGTGAGTGATTGCAACATTTGAAGAATTTCTGATAAATAAGTAAAGAAACCTGAAAGTAGATATCTTGTAGAAACATGTTCATTTAGTAAATGTGAATAAAGAGGGAATGAGACAATGTGGTAGATTTCCCCTCAGAGGTGTAGACGATGAGGAGTGGGAATTCACTATGGATCTACCAGAGGGATATACAGTCCTTAGAGAAAATAAAAAACTATTAACAGAGTGAGTCCCTAAGGAAATATACAGATCATGAACGCGGAGATCCATAGTTTCCTTATTCCATTTTATATACATAATCTAAACCCTGGGTAGGAACGAGCAAGATTCTGACCTATTTTTCACCAAATGTATTACATCATTACACTCACATTGAATCTTCTGTGCCTAATCAAGTAACAAGTATGATGAAAGTATTATTTTCTTCTATCTCATGAAAACACTGAAAATATCGGAAATTAAAGAAGTTCAGAAAGATTTCCATGGCATAGGTGAATTAATGTCTACTCCTCTCCCCTAAAATCAAAAGGATCAAGCCTGGAGAATGTGAAATGACATTTGCAGAACCAACAGGGTAAAGACCTAGAAACATAGATCAATGAAAC